ACCAAATAGTGATGGCCTCCAACCAAATACTGATGGCCTCCAACCAAGTAGTGATGGCCTCCAACCAAATACTGATTGCCTCCAACCTACTAGTGATGGCCTCCAACCTACTAGTGATGGCCTCCAACCTACTAGTGATGGCCTCCAACCAAATAGTGATGGCCTCCAAACTACTAGTGATGGCCTCCAACCAAATTGTGACGACCTCCAACCTACTAGTGATGGCCTCCAACCAATTGTGACGGCCTCCAAACTAGTGATGGCCTCCAACCAAATTGTGACGGCCTCCAATCTACTAGTGATGGCCTCCAACCAAATTGTGACGGCGTCCAACCTACTAGTGATGGCCTCCAACCAAATTGTGACGGCCTCCAGCCTACTAGTGATGGCCTCCAACCAAAGTGTGACGGCCTCCAACCTACTAGTGATGGCCTCTAACCAAATTGTGACGGCCTCCAACCTACTAGTGATGGCCTCCAACCTAATGCTTAATACATATTGATAAGAAGATTGCTTGTTTTCTGCCTTGAGGTTCTTGGCTTCACAGGTCTCATGAATGTCAACACAACGGGGAGCGCCTGACCAGCGTTCGAAAAGATGTTTGTTCCCTTCCTAGTTCTCTAAGTAACAAGCGTCTGTCTGACGGGCAAAAACACCGGAACACTGAGCTGACTTTCACGTCCAAGCGCCATGCCCACGTCGCTGAGCTCGCTGAGCTCGCTCTGCACTTGCGGATGCTTCTCGGGGTGGACTCGGCTGACCGCGACAACCTCCCGAGCCGTGCCCGATTGCTCCCCCAGCTGGGGCCCGTCCCCAGAAGTCGATGAGATTCCATCACATGATCGGCCACGGGTTGGCAGCTGGGCATCACCGGTACCTTCAATGCCAGCGCCGTGGGGGACCTGGGAGATGGAGATCAATGAGGGTCCCAATTCCTATGAGAACCGCACCAGTCACAATTTGGTCCTCAAGCTGGAGGTGCCTGGCACCGACAGCCACCGTGGCCCCAAAGGAGGTCCCAAAAAGGGCCCTAAAGAGCCCAAAAAGCCAAGGATCAGTGAGACGAGTTTCACAGCTCAGCCTGGGAGGCTTCAAGAGGTTGGGATTACAAGGACCAATTCACCTCCAAGCTTCATGGTGGAGCAATTGTTATCCTCGCCTGGCAGCCTCCCACAAGGGCTCACTCAAGAGGAGAGCGACAAGCAGATGGAAAGGAATGTGGACAAGGCACCTGATACTGTGATGATGGGTGCTGCCTTCAGAAAACACGAAAGGTAGCCTGGTTGCGTTCTTGTTCCTAGTAGTACGGCTAGGAGCCCCTAGTAGTGTCCTTGCTCCTAGTAGCGATGCCAGGAGCCCTTGGAAGCTTCTTTGTTACTAGGGCTAGCTTGAGTTTGCTTTGCGAAGCAAAGGGGTTAGCTTGAATAATCTTGAATAGCCTGCTCGGGACCAAATATAGATTCTACTGACCCCCCCCTCCAATGTGATGAATGCATAATTGATAAATCAACTATTTTGGTGACCCCCCCCCCTCGCCAGCACCACTATCATCACACAGTAGCAGCAGTGCCCCTACAATGAGGTTGCGCATGCACGGCTTTGACGCAGTGCGTGCAGCTCTTACACATGCCAGCGTTTACAAGACGCAACCTTTACGCAAGCCAGGGTTCACACGCCATATTGCTCTACACTCTACACAAACGAGCGTTGACGCAACACAGCCTCTACGCAAAGCTGTGTTCACGAACCTCACCACACCACCGCATGCTCTAGCAACCTCTCCCCATCACTCTTATGCGGAGTGCGTGCGTGGCGACCGCACTTGGTTTACCAGGCAATTCTTACACACCACGGCTCTCACATACAACAAGTGCCACGCTAGTAGTAACAGGTGCCTTACTGGTAGTAACAAGAAGCTATTAGAAACAAGTGCATCGCTTCTAGTAACAAGTGCCACGCTAGTAGTGTTGACAAGCCTCCACGACACCACACGTTGTAGCAACCACTCCTCTCTGACATAGGTCCATTCTCTCTCACACCATACTTGATACAGCACCTCTCATATATTCCTGGTACCTCTCTACCTTTCGTGTTTCCCTGTCTGAAGGGTGACGTCTCCTAATAATTTTCTAGGAATATTGTTTTCAAAAGGTACTGTATTTCTAGAAAGGGATAGGTGCTTGGGCCCCGGTTGTCAAAATTCCTTTTCCTTCAAAAGGTAGAAGGAGGTCAAACTAGTTTTGCGTGAGATAGGTCAGGGTGAACTCTGTGGGATGGAAGCTCGAAACGGATCATTTTCAAGAGACGATAACTAGGCGATGTCTCTTGTGGACACTTCTATTTTTTTGATATTCTTTACTATTCTTTACTTTCCACTACTTTCATGCACTTTCCTGTTGCTGTCATTTCTTGTAAGAAATTTTATCTGTTTATTGTAAGAGCTTTCGCCCGTTTCTTGTAAGAGCTTTCCCCGCTAATTGTAAGCGCTTCCCGGCTGGGGGTACCTTTCAAACACCAAACACCTGCCAGGAATAATTATGAGGGGGTGGGGTGCATAGTGTTTAATTATAGGAGGGTAACCACCTCCCTCCCCACCTACAAGGGAGAGGCCATCTGTGAGGAAAGAGAAATAGATCATTAATTTTTGAGTGCGTATTTGCTTGAAAGTCAACCTAGGATCTCTCTACTGGACAGCTGTAGGATCCCCAAAAAGTAACTTAAGCAGTCTCACGAGAGTCTAAGCTACAGAGATGAGAGCCGCATGCTTTCGCTGAGCTTCACCTCACCACCAAGCAGCAATATTTGCAATATTGAATATTTCAAACGAATTCACAAGGAGATGCGAAAGGGTCCCATTCTTTGAGTGTAGAGATCTAGGCCTTGCAGAACTTGCCGAAGTCGATCAACGAGCGTATTGCGAAAAGCCCACGACGGCTTTTGGTACAACGGAGCCCGCAGGGACAACGCCTGCGGCAAGGGATTTTGAGAGGTGCCACCATTGCCTTCATCACAACGGGCTACGAAGGTTGCCGAGGGGAAAGAAAGTTTACCTTTTCAAGAAGTTCTTTTAAGGAGGTCTTAGACGAGTCAAGAATGACTTGGATGATTGGAGTTAAGAATGATTGGAGTGTTTTGCAGGGAAACGCTTCATCTATGAGAAGGCATACGAGCTGGGCATTCGCATTGTCCTCATCGACAGCCCGACCTCCTGGTGTCAAACTCTGGTGGAAGAGAAAAAGGCCGTCAAGTTCATTCCAGCAACTTGCACGAAATCAGACTGACGGGCAGGTTGGAGGCCATGGCTAGGATTTTCTTTGGAAGATTTCCCAAAGGGTAGGACTCTAGGACGGGCAGCACGAAAGACTGACCATTGCGTCGCGCAGGACTCCCAAAAGTGTTACCTGCCACCTCCCAGGTGGATATGAGCCAAGCATCTTCTGAGGCGAAGCGGGAAATGGGGAAGTTTTGGTTGTTTCGAGCGGGTAGATGACAAGCTGTCACTTTGCCTTTTGGTGTCGTGCTATAGCTGCTAGGGCATTCAAGTGCTCAAGCTTCAGTTGTGAGATGTATACTTACTACTACTACTGCTACTACTACTAATTACTACTACTAATTACTACTACTAATTACTACTACTAATTACTACTACTAATTACTACTACTAATTACTACTTCTACTACTTCTACTCCTACTGCTACTCCTACTGCTACTCCTACTCCTACTGCTACTACTACTCCTACTACTACTACTACTACAACTACTACTACTACTACTACTACTACTACTACTACTAGCTAGAAACATGCACTTTGTGCCCAAGGCAACCTTTGGAGGAAACGAGCAGTTTTGTGTGTTTGAGTAGAGTTAAGTTTCCTCGCTTTCACAGCTCTCTCTTCGATCCTTTTCGATCCTTTGTTCCCGCATTCGTTTTCGCTTGGCCTGCGGGGCCTGCAGCATGCCCGAAGCGGGGTCAGGTCTTGGTAATATTTGGCCTTTTCCCAGTCTTCGTGATGCAAGGAAGCCATGCAATGTGACCATGTTGTTCAGGGTTAGTTAGGGGTGCGAAGAGGATGACGAAACCTGGGCCTTTTGTTGCACGTGTTTTTTCCTCCAAATCCAGCATATTTTTCTGGAAACAGTTTTGACGGCCAAACGGACGATGTAGAAGTGGTCGACTCAGGTGGTGAAGTCTTGCCTCACTGCCTTGGAAGCTTGCGAGAACGACCCGTTGGTGGGCAAGGCAAGGATCCACGAATCCGATCAAGTTCTCATCGGATCGATTTGATCCTTGGGGCTCTATTGACAGAAAAAAGAACGAACCAACATGTTCTTCAACAATCTCCTTTGGCTGCACAACAGTTCAAGGGCCACACAGAATCTTGTATAATCTAAGGACAATGTTTGGATGAATAGACGTGTGAGCTATCCTGTAGCAGGTTACCTAATAGCGTCCAGCCCTTACTCAATTAAGTAGGCGGCTACTTACTTGAGCAAGGGCGGGCTAAAAAACATATAAAGCAATCGCTGTCCAGACATGTACCGATCCGAGCCACTCGAGCGAAGGTGGATGGTTTAGCGACCTTTGCTGAGCTCTCGGTGCCCTTGACCGCACGCTTGGCGGAGCTGCTGGGCTTGCCAGGGCCACAGCCGGATGCCACAGACAAGGCGCGAAGCGTGCTTCGAGGAGGTCGGAGCGATTCTCCTCTCCAAAGATTGGTTGCATGGGAACCAGAAAGTCTTCAAATAAGTCAAGCCTCCAGATCTAGAGGCGTCTCCCATCGACTCTTCTTTAGCACACGAAAGCCGCGTCGTTGCACGCCACGGCAGGCGCGCGACAAGGCCGCCACGCGCCGGGCCATGCGGCAGAACGGGCTGCCCACGCCGCCGGTCTACGAGATTCGCTGTGATGCCGATGTGGAGAAGGCTGCCGAGGTGGTGGGCTTTCCGGCCGTGCTGAAGCCTGTGTGCGGGAGCACAGTGGAAGAAAGCGTGAAGCGGTTGAAGAGAAAGATTTACTGCAAAGTGCAGCTTAGGTTTCCCAAAAAAGCCAGGAATCAAATGAATAGGGCGAGCGCTTCTTCAAACAAGATTCCCCCGGCCCTCAGGCGGGGGGAACTTCCTTGAAGAAGCATGAGCTATCCTGCGTCCTAGGTGGTAGCTTTACGGCCTACCCCCCTGGGCTTAAGAAAGAAAGCCCCTAGTAGCTTCTTGCTCGTAGTAGCGATGCGAGGAGCCCCTAGTAGCGTCCTTGTTACTACTAGTAAGGCACTTGTTACTAGTAGCGATGCACTTGTTCCTAGTAGCTTAAAAAAGAATTCTATAGATTGGAGTTTGAAGTATTGTGGAGGGAGTAGGATTGGGTGTCCAGATGCGTCCAGAAAAACATTGATAGGATGACTAGAATGTTTAGAATGTTCAATGTTTTGTAGGAGAGAACAAATACCAACAGAAAGAATGTTAGTGTTTGTTCTTTTTGGTAGCCAGCTTGAGGTTTTGGTAGACTTGGGTGTCACCTTGATTTCTCCTTCTTTTCATCGTGTTCCGCTGGATTCGGACTTGGATCCGAACTGGAACGAACAGATCCCACGCGGGGAACTGGATCTGTTTCGCTTCGAGGTCTGGAGCTGCCTCTGTTGGAGTGAAGAAGGTGTGGTTTCAGGGCCGCTTCAAATGGTGAGGACGCTACTAGGAGCAAAGGGCATCGCTACTAGGAGCGTTCGGACGCTACTAGGGGCTCCTGGCCTTACTACTAGGAGCAGGGACGCTACTAGGACCATTTTGCCCTTGTCATACACATACAGGTAGAGTCCCTGGAAGAACTTCGGGCCACCTACGAGGCAGGAGAATTGAGAAGAACGCTTCTGACCTTTCTTTCTAGTAGCAATGGCCTCCAACCTAGTAGCGATGGCCTCCAACCTAGTAGCGACGATGGCCTCCAACCTAGTAGCGATGGCTTCCAACCTAGTAGCGATGGCCTCCAA